GTGTATAATCATTAAATGCTGGTGCAGGAGGAGGAGTTTAAAGCTTAGTCCTGGACTACAGATGATCTTTATCTGCAGAACAGACAGATGAAGATTCATTCTGTGCCTCCAATAACTACTATTATGCATCATCATCAGCATAATCATAGGCTAAAACCTACCTTGTGCAGACTCAACACCATAGGTGATGCACTTAAAAAAATAAATAAATAAATAAATAAATTAAAAAATATATATATTTATTATTATTATTATTATTATATATATTTTTTTCCAATTTAGTCTGGTAATGTGCAGTTTTGGATATAGCCATAGCCATTAATTTACCATAAATAGGTTTAAATTTTATTTAACAATGGGCATTGTTACAAAGCAGCTTTACAGAAATCCTGATGTAGATTTAGATCTCTAAGAGATCTCCAGAGGTGACAGTGGCAAAGTAAAACTTCCAGAGATGACATGAGGAAGAAATGTTCACAGGAATATCTGCTTATGGGTGAGGATATTTAATCTTGTGCCACTCTTTCCACCTTGCCTCTGTAAAAATATTATATCAATGATGCATGTATGTGTGTGTGTGTGTGTGTGTGTGTGTGTGTGTGTGTGTGTGTGTGTGTGTGCAGTAACTCACAAAAGTGCGTACACCCCTCACATGGTTGTAAATATTTTATGATATCTTTTCATGTGACGACTCTGAAGAAATGACACTGTGCTACAATGTAAAGTAGTGAGTGTACAGCTTGTGTAACAGTGTAAATTTACTGTCCCTCAAAATAACTCAACACACAGACATTAATGTCTAAACCGCTGGAAACAAAAGTAAGTACACCCCAAAGTGAAAATGTCCAAATTGGGCCCAAAGTGTCAATATTTTGTGTGGCCACCATTATTTTCCAGCGCTTCCTTAACCCTCTTGGGCATGGAGTTCACCAGAGATTCACAGGTTGCCACTGGCGTCTTTTTCCACTCCTCCATGATGACATCACGGAGCTGGTGGATGTTAGAGACCTTGTGCTCCTCCACCTTCCGTTTGAGGATGTCCTACAGATGCTTAAGAGGGGACAGCCAATTGACACTGTTACACAAGCTGTACACTCACTACTTTACATTGTAGCACAGTGTCATTTCTTCAGTGTTGTCACATGAAAACATATAATCACATATTTACAAAAATGTGAAGGGTGTACTCACTTTTGTGAGATACTGTGTGTGTGTGTATGTATGTACATACAGTCATGGACGAAATTATTGGCACCCCTGGAACTTTTCCAGAAAATGCACCATTTCTCCCAGAAATGTGTTGCAATGACAAATGTTTTGGTATACACATGTTTACTACCTTTAAGTGCATTGGAACAGCACAAAAAAGCAGAAGAAAAAAGGCAAATTTGACATAATTTTACACAAAAAAATTCAAAAATTAGGTCGGACAAAATTGTTGGCACCCTCAACTTTGGAGAAAATAACTGAAACCAATCGCTTCCTATAACCATCAACAAGCTTCCTACACGTCTCAACTGGAATTTTGGACCACTCTTCTTTTGAAAACTGCTCCAGGTCTCTCAGATTTGAAGGGTGCCTTCTCGCAACAGCAATTTTGAGATCTCTCCATAGGTGTTCTATGGGATTTAGATCTGGACTCATTGATGGCCACTTCAGAATTCTTCAGCGCTTTGTCTCCAACCATTTCTGGGTGCTTTTTGAGGTATGTTTCGGGTCATTGTCCTGCTGAAACACCCATGACCTCTGACGCAGACCCAGCTTTCTGACACTAGGCCCTAGGCCTACATTATGGGCCAAAGTCTTTTGATAGTCTCCAGATTTCATGATTCCTTGCACACAGTCAATGCACCCAGTGCCAGAGGCAGCAAAACAACCCCAAAACATCCTTGAACCTCCACCATGTTTGACTGTAGGTACTGTGTAGGCCTCTTCGTGTTTTCTACAAACAGTAGAATGACGTGCTTTGCCAAAAAGCTCTATCTTAGTCTCATCTGTCTACAAAACGTTCTCCCAGAAGGATTGAGGCTTACTCAGGTACATTTTTGCAAACTGCAGTCTGGCTTTTTTATGCCTCTGTGTCAGAAGTTGGGTTCTCCTCGGTCTCCTGCCACAGCGCTTCTTCTCATTCAGATGACGACGTATGGTTCGAGTTGACACTGATGAACCCTGAGTCTGCAGGACAGCCTGAATTTGTGTGGAAGTTGACTGAGGTTGTTTATCCACCATTCGAACTATCCTGCGTTGCATTCTTTCATCAATGTTTCTCTTCCGTCCACGTCCAGGGAGATTTTCCACAGTTCCATGGGTTATAAACTTCTTGATTATATTGCGCACAGTGGACAAAGGAACTTTCATATCTCTGGAGATTGACTTGTAACCTTGAGATTGTTTATATTTTTGCACAATTTTGCTTCTTAAGTCCTCAGACAATTCTCGGCTCTGTTTCTTAATGCTCGGTGTGGCACACACAGGCACACAACACAAAGGTTGAGCCAACTTCTATACACTCTAACTGGCTTCAGTTTGGATTTCTATATCGCCAGCACCTGTTACTTGCCACAGGGGAGTTTAAATGAACATCACATGCTTGAAATGAAATTATTTACCCACAGTTTTAATAGAATGCCAATGATTTTGTCCAGTCCATTTTGGGGGTTTTGTGTAAAATGATGTCAAATTTGCCTTTTTTCTTCTGCTTTTTTTTGTGCTGTTTAAAGTGAATATAATATACAGCACTGTCCACTAATATTGGCACCCTTGGTAAATATGAGCAAAGAAGGCTGTGAAAAATTGTCTTTATTGTGTAACCTTCTGATATTTTGTTCAAAAATTCACAAAAATACTCTGCTCTCATGGATATCAAACAATTGCAAACACATTATTATATATAATTAATATATAAAGACAAATTAATATATTTAACATCTATATTCTGAATTAATACATTTCTGTGAAGCTGCTTTGAGACCATGTCCACTGTTAAAAGTGCTATACAAATAAAACTGAATTGAATTAAAAGAAAACCTGACTGCCTCTGCCAGAAAACCTAAAATGGGCCGTAGTTGGATCTTCCAGCAGGACAATGATCCAAGACGTACAAAATCAACACGCCAATGGTTTCCAAACCACAAAATCAATGTCCTGCCATGGCCATCCCAGTCCTCTAACCTGAACCCCATACAAAACCTGTGTGGTGAACTGTAGACGAGAGTCCACCAGCATGGACCTCAAAATGTGAAGGATCTGGAGAGATTCTGTGTGGAGGAATGGTCTCCGATCCCTCGCCATGTATTCTCCATCCTCATCAGACATTATAGGAGAAGACTCAGAGATGTTATCTTGGCAAAGGGAGGTATCACAATGTATTGACTGAAAGGTTGCCAATAATTGTTGCACACATGGATAAACCTGTTATCTGCAATAGTTTCATATCCATGAGCAGAGTATAGATTTTGTTAAAATAAAAATTCACAAAAATAATTTTTCTTTGCTCATTTTTACCAAGGGTGCCAATATTAGTGGACGGCACTGTATATTAATGTGTATAAAGTGAATATTTAGAAAGTAAGCCTGCAGGATTGCATTGTTCTGTTTTTCTTTTTCCCCTCTAACAGGCTGTTTAGATCTGAAAACACTTGATCCACAGCAGCTAACTTTTCGAATGATTCTTTTCCAATGCATCCATCGTTTTTGTGCTTGAAAAGATCCTCTAGACAGGCACACAAAGGCAGCTATATTCTGTATGTAGCAGTGGTCCAAATGGTTTTCCAATGCTTTTAAAATCAGAAAGATGACTACATGACCCGGACTAAAAAGATCAGCCACCTTGATTTAGTTAAAAACACAGCAGATCGTTTGAGCTAGAAGCTTCTCAAGGATGTATTCGCAGCCATAAAGCATGACATTACCCAGTCCTGGACAGTGCTTTTGTCCACGTTTTCTCCTTAAGCAAGCGAACTCTAGATATTGACCAGTGGAATAAGGTGATTGAGCAGCTGGGCACGCCGTCTCAGGAGTTCATGATGAAGCTGAACCAGTCTGTAAGGACCTATGTGGAGAACAGACCCCGATACGCCGGGTACAGTTTTGAGAAGCTTTTCCCAGATGTTCTCTTCCCCGCCGACTCTGACCACAACAAGCTCAAAGGTGAGGGTTTATAACCGTCCCCAGCATGCATCTGTTAAAATCCTCTGGATTAAGAACTACCTTATTCCAGGTCAGTGGTCTAACTCGGTGGCATGTTATTTTCTAAATGCTTACTGGCCATTTATTAGTTTCTTTTGTTAATAGTAATGTTGATGCGTCTGAGCGATGTATTGATGTGTTGTATGACCAACCTCAGTTTATGCACTTTAGTGAATTACAACATGGTTAGCTTTATGCTGATTTTTGGATTAGAATGATTGTTTTTGTAGATCACACCAAGCAGCTAATTTGCACACAGACTATCCAAGGAACATCCAAAAAACGTATTTTCTTTTCTACCTGTAGCGAGTCAGGCTCGAGACCTTCTGTCCAAAATGCTGGTTATAGATGCATCTAAGCGGATCTCTGTGGACGAGGCCCTGCAGCATCCCTACATCAACGTGTGGTATGATCCGAGTGAAGTTGAGGCGGTAGGCATTTTAAAAAAAAAATTATTATTATTCTGTTGTTGATTGTTTTTTTGCCGGACAGCCTAGTGGGCTGGCCTAGACTGAGTCAGTCCTATTGTTTTGCTTGGATTTCCTCATTTGTAAGTCGTTTTGGATAAAAGCGTCTGCAATTTTGTAAGGGAAAAAATGTTTGGGGGGTGGGTTAACTAGAGGGTAATGCTTTTGTTTTTTTGTATAAATGTATTGGCTATGAAAAAAATTTACCAGTTCTGTATACTGAATTTATTAATCACCGCCTCTAAAGAACATTTGGCAGATGCCCTTACCCAGAGAGACTTACATTAATCTCATTTTATACAATCGAGCAGTTGAGGCCTTATTCAAGGGCCCAATAATTGCAGGTTGGCAGTGCTAGGATTTGAACTCGCGACCTTTTCATCGGTTGTCCAACATTTTAACCACTGAGATAACCACCTCCCACCTCTCTCCGATCTATCAGGGTCTGGATTTGAAAATCACATGCTCCATCAGTGAACTAATGCTCTGTAACCCAGTTTCCCGGGTTCAGTCCTGCACTGGGTTGAGTGATTGCATTCAGGGCTTTGAAAATACAGAGTAAAATCATGTTGAATGTACGAAATTGTGTTAGTGTAGTGCAATTCATTCGCATGGAACCGATGTACACAATTGAATTAAATAAATCCAATGAGACGGTATGCCTGACCACCTTGCAGGGTAGCCTGGAGGAGGCATTTTCGCTCAGTGACTGATTGTTTAAACCCATTGATTAAACCTACATGAGCGTGGAGTCTAGCTAGCTGAATTTTTATCTTGCTATGCTTAGCTAGGGACCAGGGACATTCTGTGATATACATGCATCATATAGTACTTGTGTGACAAATGCTATGCAGCTGATGGCAGTCCAGCAAAATTGACTTGAGAGAGAGAGAGAGAGAGAGAGAGAGATTTATTGATTGATTGATTGATTGATTCTCCCAACACCGCCTGACAATGACTAATAACAAGTACTAAGGTGCACTCCTAAACATACACCCCTTATAGTCTGAATACAAGCATTAGTTTAAATTCACTGATATGGTGGCAGGCCATAAAGACTTATTAAAACCATGAACATTTGAATAATTATTAGTGACATTAGGCTACATTTAGCTGACAGGACAGGTGCTGAATGGCGAAGGATGGTGGAACATTAGGAGGTAGTTTATAACATTACAATACGTAAGCGTCGTTAACAAATAACTGGCTATCGCTAACATTACATGGAGCATAACATGCCACAATGCCAGCTGCCTCAAACAAACATAGTATAGGACCTGGCTTTCAGGTGCTTCGCCAAATTCCAGGTGTTTCCTCACTTTGTTTGAAATGAACGATGGCATCGGTTGCACACCGGCAAGCGATGCTACCTTTCCTCTCTTTCCCTCTCAACGATTCGAAGCGGAGCTAAACTTGTTAAGCTAAGCTAATCTTCTGTAGTTTTTCCCCAAGTGGTTGTAGGCATTCTTCTTCTTCTTCTTCAAAACTTGTGGACCGACTAAAACACTTGCGCGTATTTGCTGCCCCCTTCAGTTCCGGAAGAATTGCAACCTTGGTATTTACGCTACTGCAGAAAAACAAGTATGGTCACGTTTCAAGAATGTCGCTACCGAAGTATCGGTTCTCGTGACATCCCTATCTGTAACACAGTCTGCCTCATACCGGAAGTACCATGCAATGACGGGGTTGAATTGAAATCAGATTTTTGTATGTTACCGTAATTGGTGATGTAATATTTATGCATGTACATTGTTGTTGCTCTTATTACTTTTCATAGAAGCGTATTCACACCTTGGGGCAATTTATAGGAGTCCGGAATGTTTTTGGGAGGTGGGAGGAAACCAAACACAGGGAAAACATGCAAAACTCCACACATATAGTACCCTAAGGATCGAATCACTGACCCTTTTTTGAGATTAAATTGCTGTTTTTTGTTGCAGCCTCCACCGTTGATCACAGACAAGCAGCTGGATGAGAGGGAACACACTGTGGAAGAGTGGAAAGGTGTTGACTCTTATTGCCAACTTTAATGTTTGATGAGTAATGTTGCGTGTATTCACTGAAAAGGAACTGAACTCTTGCTTTCTTGTCAACATTGCATGAGTGTTTTTTTTTTTTTAACTCAATCTCCTCTGAAACCTTCTGCTCCCTCATCAGAGCTAATATATAAAGAGGTGCCGGACTGGGAGGAACGCTCGAAAAATGGTGTAATCCGCGGACAACCTGCTTCAGTAGGTTAGTTCAACCCCTTATGTTCTGTTTCTGTCAAGATGACTCCTTCATATAAAAAATGTAACAATGTGCTTGGCTTGACTCTGTTGCTTATTAATAATAGATTATATCTTAGAGAGAGTGTTTAGATCAGAGGCGTCCAATCTTATCTGCAAAGAGCCGGTGTGGGTGCAGGTTTTCATTCCAATCAAGATGGAGCCACAGCTGATTAATTAGTTGAGCTTGGCTTTCAGTAGCTTCATGTGTGGCTTCTGCTTGGTTGCAGTGAAAATCTGGACTTCATGTTAGTTGAAAGAAGCTAATTTGAACCGTTTCATGTCTTTTTGTGTGTACTTTACTGTGTTTGGTGATTTCGTAGAACATTGCAATCTGGTTGATTAGGGGTTAAAGTTCTGATTGGAAGGTCGTAAGTTCCAATCCCGTCACCGCCAAGCTGTTACTGCTAGACCCTTGAGCAAGGCCCTTAACCCTTAACTGCTCAGTTGTGTAAATAAGATGAACGTAAGTCACCCTGGATTGTGGCCTCTGCCAAATGCAAATGTAAACGGTATAGCTAGCAACACTCTACTGGTCTCCGCTAAAGTTTCCGGTCTGACAGTTTTGATTTTTCTTTGTTATTCATAGCACAGGTGCAGCAGTGACCAGCGGCTCCCAGCAGAACTCCACATCCTCTTCGTCCTCCATGTCCTCTGTCCTCGCACTGTCCTCAGAGACAGAAAGCAGCTCGGAGACTTTGTTCTCCTCCTCCTCCACCGGGCCAGTGGGCTGCTGCAGTTGACCATCACCCCCATCCTTGTCGCCTGAGTGACGTTCCTCCATTCGTTTCTTTTCGGTCAGGGGAAAAAGTCAGAGTAAGGTGGGAGTTTTTAAAAGGCACCTTAAGAAGCTTTTACACCAAACCAGCGTTATTTTGGTTGCTTTTCTTTTTATTTTTTTTAGGGGGTGGGGGGTGGGTTGGGTGCAACTCAATTTAGTGTCAGACTGAAACTACCGCTGCATCTCCTCAATGCCATTTTGATCATTTGTAACGGTTGTATGATAAATTTATATTTGAAGAGGCTTTGAATTTCAAGATTGCTGTGAACCAGGTTTGATCGCAGTTTAGCAGAATGGCACATTGTGTTAAAGACTCCGCTCTTCAGTTCTGTTACTGTTTTAGAGTTAAATCCAGTGCATCTTGAATGAATTTCCACAATATTTGTTTAATAAGCAAATATTAGTTTAGAGTCTTTCTCGCATGACTTAATGCTGAGATCAGGTCACAACACATTGATTCAGTTCTTTCACCATTTTACAAAAAAAAATATTTATAATAGGCATATTAACACTTATTTTGTCTACTCATTAATTTTGTTTTTTGTTTTTGGTTGATTTTGCTACAGTACTTTATAGACTCGATACACCATTTTGTTTCACATATGTTTCTGTATGTGATACATACTGTACAGGTATTGATGTTAAAATCTAAAAGAAAGTAAAGGGTAAATTAAAGGTTTTATTATTATTATTATTATTATTATTATTATTATTATTATTATTATTTTGGTCTTTAGTGCTTTGTACAGCTTGGCCCTGGAATGTTGCAAGGCCCTTTTAAGGTGAACAGTTGTTGTGGGCATAGAACATTTGTGAACCCCTATGTACAATATAGGTCATGTCTCTAAATGGTGCATTCTGGGTATTCTGTGCCTGCTAGAATGTGTCACCTGGACACTATCTATTGCAGTGCATTATAGGACTTTGTGAGTGTGCTGGGTATTTTCCAGTAAGCTTTTGATTATGACTCGAAATACAGGAAATACGTTGGCGTGACTGCAGTGGAATGTATGAATAGCAGTATAGATAAGAAAGTTGTGATTTGAAATTATTTAAGAATACAGTGATGTTGGATTGTACTAAAAAGCTGTCTCAGTCAGATCTTCTGTTGGTAACGCTTTACATTAAGCATCCATTATGTGATGTTATTTAATACACATTACTATGTACAAACCATAAGCTTCAGCATTAATACTCCATATGTAACATTTAAAAACTAACAAAGTAATAACACTTGTATTAAAATAATAATAATAAACCAAATATTCAGCATTAACCAATGTTCCTACTGGTAAAATAAAGCCTACAGTGATGTGGGCACCATGAACATCACCTTAACGAACATGTGGTTGTTCACTGGGAAATTCAGAACCCAGGCTGAACAGAAAGTTGTAATGTTTTACACCCGAACAGCAGAATTCAGTACATTATAAACATGTAATAACATGCTGTAATTGTTAACGTTATGCTGAAGTTTATGGTTTGTTAATGTTGAATAAAGCTGTAAATAATGTCCGTTAAGGGAACCTTAATGAAAAGTGTTACCTTACTATTATTATATCATTTTTGTAAAGGTGAAATGGGTGTTTTTACAGAATTCAGCACAACTCGCTAACCTTGAATAACCAGCGTTTATTGCTCTTTCAGTAACTACATCCCAGATTAATGTACTCGATAGATCTGTGACTAGACTTGTACGCCTGCCTGTTGATGCGATGCAGACAAAACAAGTCCGTGCTAAATCCTAAACCTGTATGCAATCGCCGTTTCCTTTTGGAGTCATTTTCATGTTCCGTGTGAAAGTGCCTGTGTCAACTGTTTGCAAATATCTCCTTAAAAAGTCATATTTCTTGGAAATTCCAGAGCAGATCACAGTTCGTGTGATGTATGGAGTGTCTACTTTTTATTTTAATTTTTTATTATTATTATTGGTCTGATCGATTCAGAGACTGTTGGAGTGATGGCGTGTCGTGCGTACCATGATTAACGTGACAGTCTTTGATTTCGGTAGAATAGATTTTAGCAGGATGTAGAAAAGTAGTTAAATTGTAAATGTTCGTGAATGACAGTGATGCGTTCTTTGGAGCTGAAAGTTTGAAGAAAAGCTGATGTTCATGTGGTGGTGATGGTCTTTGACATGGTGTTCTAGCATGTAAAACGTCACGTTCTTGAGGGTTTATGTACGTATGTAAGCAGAATGGCCGGCCAACAAATTTTATGACTCTTGAATCATGAATCGTACATCACAGGGTTCTACACATCTGCAGCTTTTCGTTCGTCGTTGTGTTTTTGTTCCAAGTGCTCTTATATTTCTTTGGCCTTCTTTCTGAAGGCTGCATTTGATGAATTTTTGGATGGGATTTCATCTTTT